ATCGTAGCGACGAACATGGAGGTGGAATATTGGAGGCAAAAAGCTCAAATCAGATGGCTAGACAAGGGAGACTCTAACACCAAACTCTTCCAAGCTTTTGCAAAGGGAAAAAGAAAGAAGCTTCAAATTTCTCACATCATTGATGGGAATGGCAAGGGACTCAATAACATGGATGACATCAAACAAGAAGCTATCAGACACTTTCAGAACCAATTCCAAGCTCCAGCAACTTCCATTCCTGATTTGGGCAATATTCTGCCCTTTATCCCTCCTCTCATCTCCAATGAAGACAACCTATTTCTCACTAAGCTCCCAGATTTGGCTGAGGTAAAAGCAACCGTTTGGGACCTGGATCCTGACAGCGCAAGTGGCCCGGATGGCTTTAATGGTAATTTTTTTAGGGCTTGTTGGGATATAATCCAACAGGATGTTCTCACTGCCTCTCAAGAATTTTTTCTAGGCCTCCCAATTCCAAAAGGATATGGCAGTACCCTCATCACCTTGATTCCCAAGAAAGAAGATCCAAAATGGTTTGATGATTTTAGGCCCATCTCCCTCTCAACTTTTCTCAGCAAAATTAATACTAAACTCCTTGCCAACAGACTTAAAATGCTGCTCCCCAAACTCATCTCACCAGAACAAGGAGCATTCCAGAAAGGTAAGTCCATTGATGACCATATTCTCCTTGCTCAAGAAGCCATACATGGACTAGACAGAAAGGTTTTTGGGGGTAACCTTCTCATCAAAATAGACATGGCAAAAGCTTTTGACTACATGAACTGGAGCTTTCTTGAGGGCACTCTTGGAAAGTTTGGTTTCTCTCAAGTTGCCAGCAATCTGTTAATGGCAAACCTCAGGAGCTCCTTCATTTCTGTCCTCATCAATGGTGAACCTCACGGTTTCTTCCCCATGACCAGAGGAGTTAAACAGGGCGATCCCCTCTCTCCACTTCTTTTCATTCTAGGGTTTGAAGCTTTCTCCAGATACCTAAACCACTCCATTGAGAGCAACACTATCAAGCGTTTCAACTTGGGAAGTGTTAGGATGCCCAGCCATCTCATTTACGCAGATGACTTGATGATCTTTACAAAAGGGGACATCCTCAACCTTCTTAAACTTAACCAAATTCTAAAAGTTTTTATGCAGGCTTCAGGGTAGCAGATAAACTTTTCAAAAAGCAGATTCTACACTCCAAAATCCACCACTGCGGATCAACAACTCAAGATGGAAAAAGCCCTGTCCATGAAGTGTGGAAGCCTCCCCTTTACCTACTTGGGAGCCACCTTACGTAGAGGTATTCTCAAAAAAGAAGACTGTGATTCTCTCTTGGACCATGTATACAAACATCTCTCCTCTTGGTATAGCAAAACCCTCAGTCAAATGGGAAGACTTATTCTCATTAAACATGTCCTCTCCTCCATCCCACTCCACCTTATTGCCATCCATTCCCTCCCAAAATCCATCATCAAAACTGTCAATTCCCTTATGGCTAATTTCCTTTGGGGCCAAAGGAATGGCAGGGCTAAATACCACTGGAGGAACTGGAACTTCACATGCCAAAACAAGAATGTTGGGGGCCTCGGGATTAGGAGCCTCTTACAAATTGAAACAGCATACTCTCTCAAAATCTGGTGGAAAGCTCAGCATGATCAAAATCTGGGCTATATTGGTTCGAGCAAAATACATGAAGGATGGCTGCATCAAAGAACGTCTCCCAGATTCCCCAACATGGAAACGAATATGTAGAATTCACTCTCTGGGCATTTCTCACACACAAAGGAACAACGGGCAGGCCCTCTGGAATAACGGTCAGTTCTCTCTCAAGCAAGCGTATAGAGCCACTGAGGATCATCTACCTGCACTTCTCTCAACCAAATTTATCTGGCACAAAGCGCAAATCCCAAAGCTT